AAATATCGGCAATACAGGAGACCAACCCCAGCAGTAGACCCAGAACCACCCTTGCGGCTCACCGACAACAACCTCTGCACCTCGTAGGTACCTCTCTTCCTTCCTCTCTAATAGCTCGCCTCTCTTCTCTCTTCGTGCCTTCGGAGTTCGATTCAAGATACAAAAATCTCACCTCTCACAGTCTGTTTCAGCAACAATAGTGTGAAAGAAGCCGTGGCACCTTCGCACCACACAAATGCTGTCAAATCTCACATCGGAGCTCGTCGGCGGCAACCTTTTTTTTTTCCTCCTTCGCAGCTGTCAACCTTTCTCTCCCAGCTGGATTCTGGACTTTCTACTTTCATTCGAAGTTGGATTCTAGGTTTTTCTTTTTAAGAGAGAGCAACGATAGGTATACCCAGAACTCAAGAAACCCAGAACAACTTGGATGGAGAGACTATAGACACCTAGACCTAAACTCAAGAGAATAGTATTGCAAAAATCTCCAAACAACTCTCTTAACGGTCCTTTAATCCAGCCACGGGTAACCAAGTCATTCAAGCACCGTTCTACACAATGAGTAAAAGGAGAAGACAGAGGCAGCACCCGAATCATACAGAGCCCCTATCTGATCCAGATTCAAAAAAAAAAAAAATTATCTGTATAACGGGTAAAAAGAGGAGACGAAGCAATCACCTGGAAAATAGCTCCTATCTGATCTAGATTCAAAAAATATATATATATATATATATAATCCCTTCACAATGGATAAAAGGAGAAAGTGGACGAAGTAACCGGAATATGCACAGCTCCTGTCAAATTCAAAATATACAGAATACATATTTCTACAAAAAGGTGAGCTCCCCATTCGAACAGTTCGAACAGGTTGAAACTATACCCAGAATGTACACAAACTTCTTTGAATTCATACAAATATAAAATATTGGACGCAATAAGGCAATATTCAAGTAAAAGGAGGCGCTAAAAAAATAAATAAAATAATAATTTGTATATATACACACATACTCAGGTTGCACCTTCCTAAGGATGAATCCTTAAACCAATCAAAAACTTTCTTTGCAACAGACTGCAAGAACCTTAAACTCTCCAAAAACGTCACTGTTACACAAGCTATCACGAGCTACTATGACCAACTCCAAATCAGTAGGGCTGCTCTAAACCTATAACTTCAATTGATGAGTTGTCCTCTCCATGGATCGCCCATTCTCAATGTAAAGCTGCAAAAGTTAGTAAATTCATCCCCTCTTTCCCAATGCAACCTCATCTTATAAGAGAGCAAATACAGACAACACAAAACACAAGCAAATTCATATCCAATTGCTAACGCTCTCCTCTCAACTTTAACAACCCATTCTCTCTAAATGGCTTCTGTATGAGAGGGACACCGTGATAACACTGTTTGGCGGCCAGTGAACAAGGCTCCAAACCAGAGAGGTTCAAAACATAGAGCTTCAAGCTCCACTCCCACTCACCACTGTCGCCCAGTGTGTGAGTTCTTTCGAAGGATGCTCTCTATGCCTCCATAGCAATTCCAAGATCTGCTATTTGAATCCCCTTGGATCCAACACCCTGCTTCTACAGTTGTAGAGGTGCCGGAAGATTTTCGGGGTAAAATAAGAGGATGGTACAAGGCACTAACCATTCCAGAGCTCTACACAATACCACACTTGGTTTTTGCTAAACCAAGAAGGCAACCTCACTCTCCAAGGATCCACCTGCCAAGCAAATCAGGTATTAATCTCACATTTTGAGAGGATCCGAATCAACATCCTCTCGCAAAGACCGATAGAAAGAGATCTAGATCACCATATCTCCATCATGTCAGCACCATTGGAAAACCCAAATGAAGATTTGGGACTAATAAAGAACTTTGCAGATCTCAACATTAGAAAAGAGAGTGCTTCCCCCAATGCTCAGCCAAACATTCCCCACAACACTCTGCTCAACATCCTCTTTTTCAACACTGAGGGCGTCGCTCGCCCTAACTTTCTCCAGCACTACATACACCTACACTCCTATGGACGCTTCGATCTTGTCATCATTACAAACACAAAAAATAAAGAAAGTGAAGCCCAGTTTATGAGTAAAATCATGGATTACTCCAACACCAAGACCATGAACCCACCTCCCAGCGGCATGGAAAGAGTAACGGGTAGAATTTGGTGTCTATGGAATGAAGCTGAAATCTCATGTAACGTAATAGAGATCCCGTGGAATGAGGTTATCGCCCAACAAGCCCATATTCTCTTCCGACCAGTTCGTGTCAAATGAAATTAAAATGTATCTCCCCCTTTAATTCAAAAGAAATCAAAATTTATTACCTTCATGAGTCATGTTTTCGACATCTTTGTCATACATGTACAGACACTCTTATGAGAATATCTATACAGGGGGGCATTAATGTAGATATCTATACCATACTTAGCACGTGGCGAGCCCTACGGGCGTCGCGTCAGCACCACTACACATCCACGTGGCAGACCCCTGAGGCACCACGATGAGTATGTCATCACTATCACGCATCCACGTGGCAAACCCCTGAGGCATCATGATGAGTCGGGATTGTATGCCTAGCCTAAGCGGAGGCATGCACACCACCAAATATGAAATAAGGCCACATAGAGCCGGCTCACTTAGACCTCTTCATGGCCCTTCATAACTCAAGAAATGCATTCTCTACCCACTTACCCAAACTCCATAGCAACATAGCCTAACTCTTGGCTCACCTATATTCGGCTCACCTATGTTTACTTAGCCACTGAGATGAGCCCTTGGCTCACCCATGCATTCACCCTTTTGGCTGCCTAGGTCGGGAGCAGGACCTAGACCCTCCCGCTTGGGATCATTGAAGGATTGTGGATTGGAAGCTAAGACCTCGGGATCGTCAAGGTCGTGTCGCTATCTCCCTATAATGATAGCTCCCCCTTTGACCTGGCTTAGAGAAAGATAAGTTGACCTTACACTTACATCTGATGCACATATGATATGCCTCTCAAGATATCATACCTACCCCTGCAGTTCCTACGATGCAACCTTCCCAAGGACCTGAATCATAGGACACAGCTAGTAGGGCTGATATCACCCTCCTGTCGAGTTGAGGAGAACTTGCCACCTGTCTTGAGGTTGCTTGGGCTCCAATACTCTTGGAGTCTATATAACGGCATTATAAGTGCAGCCATAAACACAACAAGAGCAACAAGAATCAGATAACATACATTAAGTGTTCAAGGTCTCTCAATGCCATCTCTTTCCTCTCTAAGCTTGCCTTGGTCTTCTCCTCTTCTGCCTCCGATGATCTTAAGTCATTGAAGTGCCTAACATCTTCCCAGAGGTCAACGACCGATCACCTCTAATCTTTATAACCCACACTGAGCAATCTGGGCACTCAAGGACGCCAGGTCAGGATCAGAAGCCGGAGCAAATGTAGTATAAGCAGCAAGAGGGCAAAAAATACTCGGAGCAGGACCTCAGAATTGTGGCTGAGATGGCTGAGAAGACTGAGCAAACTGACAACCCTTCTTGGGACAGTTGTACTTCCAATGGCTCTTCTGATGGCAAAAAACACTCATTAGAGGCTAGTGGCCCTTTCTTGGGCTTTGTAGTAGCTTGTAGCTAATGAGGTGGGGGGTTTGACAACAGAGGAGGCTGAGTAGAAGCCAAGAAGACAGATAGAGACAAAGTCTGACTGGCCGTCTTAAGACGAGTTTCCTCGAAGAGGAGCTCACGAACAATAACATCCACAGAGGAGAGAGGAGACTAATGAAGGATGCCAACACGGATAGCCTCATACTGAGGGGAGAGAGCTTTAAAAACTGCACTAAATGACCCTGTTCCCGAAACTCAACATAAGTGTCTAGTGCCTTGAGGTTAAATGGTTCCATGAGAGCCAACTGATCCCAGAAACCTGTCATCTCAATGTAGAAGTCCTGAATAGATTGATTCCACTGACGAGCACTCTGAATAGCCGTGTCCAACTCATACCGCTTGGCAAAGTTGGACTGTTGATACACACCCAATAAATAGTCCTATACCTTCTTGGTAGTACTGTATTTGGAAAACATCATTCCAATACGGCCATCCACAGAATTATGAAACCAGGTCAGAACTTAGGCATTATCACAATCCCAAGTGTCACAGGAAGTTAGATATCCTTCTTGTTTCGGGTCCAATGGACAAGGAATTGAACCAGAAACATAGCCCCATTTTTTCTGATCAAGAAGGAAATTCTTCATAACACTGGTCCAATAAGCATAATTGGCACCAGTGAGTTTACATCTGATGGCTTGGATTTTGGTGTCTGTCATTGTAATAAACCAAGAGTAACAGGTTGAAAGATAATACCAAATACCAAAAGGGCCAAACTATAAATAAATATTTTTAACCAAAGCAATATTATAGAGCCAAAACACGAACACAGAGATAAGAACCGAGAGAACCGACGATGCTGATGATAATGAGAACCGACGAGAACCAAGGCAGACAACGATGATGAAGACGATGCGAACCGAGAGAGACGCGATGATCAATCGCGATTCATAGCAGATGGGTCGAGACAAGGAGTTGCGCTTAAACCGAGAGGCAGAGAGCTCTGGGTCAACTTCGAAGAGTCTTCAAACCAGACGAAGCCTTTGAGTCAGACGAAGAGCCAGATGGAGCAACCCTACTACGGCTGCTAGGGTTTCCAATCTTCAAGCTAGGGTTTCACACCGAGCTCTGATACCATGTAAGAAATACTGAATGTTCTGTAGATTCAATTTGTAAATAATACAAAGATTACAACCAATATTTATAGGAATCCTAACCCTAATCTAGAATAGGAAATACAATCAATCAAATATTCACAATTAACCTAATTCCATAATTACATAGATGTCTATAATGACATAATATTCTCACACTGTTATGAACTTGAGTTACCAGGGCCGCAAGCAATCAACATCTCTTCACTGAATAAAATGCAAAACAGATAAAAAGGCAGACATTCTATAACTAGAACTTACAATTTCACTAGTTTCAAGAAGTTTCCATAAGAAACTGGAATTTCAGCTCCGTTGAAATTGTTGTTGTCAAGTTGACTGCACAAGGGAAACATAAACGTTAACAGAAGAGGTACAATTATGCCACATGATAATTTGAGTTTTTTGTCTTCGTTGGAAAATCAACATGCACCAACTCCACAATGATTCTTGGGCGGTAGGCAACAAAGAGATGAGAATAAGCCACAAGGAACTTAATATAACTATGAGAATTAAATAAGACAAAAACATGGTAAAAGGTTGGTAACAAGAGAATATACATACATACCCAAAATATTGAGGCAAACTATTAGGCAAGGGAGAAAAATTTTAAGTCTAAATTTATAGCAGACAATAAGCCTAAAAAGTTCACTCCAGACATACATACAAGTGCTTGGCAAACATATTCATGACAAATTGCCATCATGAATGCACAATGACAACCCAAAGTGGAAGCATCAAAACAGGAAGATTGAACAGAGAAGGACCTAATGATACTCAGGGAAGGAACTTACAGTATACTCAAATTCGGAAAGTTTGAAAACTCTGATGGAAGATATCCAGTTAAGTTGTTATTGTCCACAAGCCTGTGAACATTGAACCAATGCAATATGAAATAATTACCACTAAAATGGTACAATTTAGTGAGAGGGGGAGAAAGAAAGAAATCAAGGAATCTGCTATACAACTCACAAGTGACGGAGAGTGGATAAGTTGGAAAGCTGACGGGGAATTTGACCACTGATTGAGTTATTGTTTAAGTGGCTGCAGAAGAAACAGACAAACAGATAAATAACAAAGTACAAAAATAAATTCCTTGTTAAACTCAAGTAACAATTAGCTTGAAGGGCACTCACAGATGTTCAATACTGCTCAAATTTGAAAATGAATCTGGTAGTGGTCCTGATATCTGGTTCAGGTCTATTTGGAGTATAATCAACTTTGAAAGATACCCAAGCTCATTGGGTATGGAACCTGATAATTTGTTTCCACTCAAGAGGCTGCATAAATAACATAGCACAAATCGTTAAAAATTAACAGAGTAGTTATATTACAGATGAAAATTTATTTATGCAAATAATTTGCAATTACCAACTGTACCTAGTACCAAACAATAATTTCAGTTAATATTCTATCGTGATTTTGTATAACATCAGTTTGATCCAATTTGGCCAAAAACAAACCTAATAATACACAAAATTAAGTCAAGCCTCTAAATTTTCTTAAAGCTGAAGCAATCAAGTTAACTTGTATACCTCCCCTGTATGCTCATTAATATCATTAACCATGACAAAAAAGATCACATTGAGAAAAAAGCTTCCGAACATTCAAGTTTTGTGGATTGAACTTACAGGAGTTCCAAAGATGCAATATTTCCAATCTCCTTTGGTATACTTCCAGTTAAGTCATTCCACATGAAATCTCTTCCAAAAGAAAACAAAAGAAAAGAGAATCAGCATCAATGGGAGGATTGCATGGTTAGTGATAACTTTGTACATTAAATGTTAATGCTATGTCTCACAATATTTTAAGCCGTGAGAGTTTGCCAAGCTCAGGTGCTAAACTTCCAGACAGGTTCATATTCAATAGCTGGCTGCACCAAAAATAGAAGAGATAATTAGGAGCATTCCCTACAATTTGAGACACTATAACCAATATTAAGGAATGAAAGATCATTTGTTCTGTTAGAGGTAATAAAAAGTGATAAGGCACTATGCCGACAATAGAAAGCAAATTAAACACGTCCATATCATCAAATCTTGAACTCCTATAACAACCAAATAGGTAATGAGTAAATGACTTCTATTAAAGGAAAGTGAGAAATCCTGGAAAAGCAACATACAGCTCTTGGACGTGCAAGTAACCATCAGTCATGACTGAATCAAAGCATAAAACTCCTCTCCAGGGGGACGTACATGGATCTCCTTTATTCCAATTCTTGAGATGCTTAGGATCAACTAAATTGCTCTTGATCGCTATTAATGCAGAGACTGCAAAGAGAACAAATCATCAGCTAATTCTCATCATAAACTAATTTACAAATAGAAGGTCCAACCATCTCTACAGCAAGCATGAAAATGGGAAAGTTGATGGTATCAGTTCCATTCCTTGTTAAATGCACAAATAACGTGAGGCACACACACTCTTCAAAATATAATTAATTTTACAACATATTATCCCTAATATAACACACAAACATGCATACAAAACATGTAATTGCTTCAATTACGTTTCAAAGGAAAAAGTATAGAATGATTCTTAGTTCTATTTTGGCACTAGAAGTGAAAAAAATAATAAATTAGATACAATGGCCTTATCGCATGTATTGAAATCAAAAGAGGTGGATGAAGAAGTCAAGACTTGTAATCTGCATCAGTGCATGCTTGCGAATTAACTTATGTAGCTGGTTCAAATCACGGGAACCAATAGTTATCTAAAAAATTATTGTGTGACTGCAAAGTCCATAACCCGCTTTCAAAGAGGGATACACACCATATCCCAATTAACCAAGTGAAACTTGAATTCAACTCCTAGGCCAACCAATAAAAGGTTCCTCTACAGCTTCTCTAACCTATTCACCACCAAGACAGGAATGGTCAAGAGAGCAACAAAATAAGAAGGAAAAATACATAAAGCCCTGTTAATTAGAGTTAGCCTTCATCCCTTTGAAAGGCATTGCCTCTTCCAAACCCACGTAGTTAATCATCTCTCAAAATGTTCCACCACACTATCCCAAACCAAAATGGCCTTGAAAGAAAAGCCAATCAAAAGTTTCAGATACAGTATACAAAGAGAATCAATCCTAAAGCCCAAAACATTTGCCCTATATTACATGAACTCTTCAAATTAAATCAATTACTTGTATCAGACACTCAACGTCTAGGCAAGAGTATGGGATGTGTTCGATACTTTCAATCATATATGCGCTTAGCAGGCATTTCCATAGATTCAATTTTGTTATATAATAATTGCATTTAACACTATCATTAAAGCATACGTGATGCAATACTCATGAACAATGAGAACATTAGAGCATATTGAGGTTATGAAATAAAATTCATAAATAATAACTAGTATCTTATATCCCTTGTGGTGTATTAAAACTGAAACAGACCTACAACTAGAATGAATGACACAAAGCTTAAAGAATAGTACAATTAAAATTTACCTTCAGAGGGATCGGTAATTTGTGCTACAACAAGGAGCATGAAGCAACAAAACGACACCGCAGAAAGTAATTCACAAACTCTCAGTCCCATCATCATGATGCCCTACAAATTAAATGATAAAAAGAAAAACATTCCATATGGCCATCTATCATTCCATATTAAATTCAAATCCAATTACTTCAATAGCCAAAAAGTGAAAAGAAAAGAGGACTAATTGGTCATCATGTAAAGTGCTACAAAATATGTATCTACGAATATATATTATCATCTGTAGCTACATATCCATCTTCCTACAAACAATGATGAAAAGGAAATTTATTCCATATGGTCATCTATCATCCTATATTAAATTCAAATCCTCATATCCATTTTCCTACAAATTAAATGATGATGAGAAGGAAACTATTCCATACGGTTATCTATCATCCTATATTAAATTCAAATCCAATTACTTCAATAGCCAAAAAGTGAAAAGAAAATAGGGAAATTCTTTGAATAGGTTAACATCACGTAAAGTGCTAAACATGTATCATCTGCATCTATATATCCATATTCCACAGTAAAAAGGGTAACAAGATGTGGAAACAAAAGCAATTCACAAGGAACATCAAAGTGAAGAAAACAATACCCCCAAGGCTGTGAAAAAAGCTATTAAACAGAGATTTAATCTGGGTTTGTTTTTCCTTTGATAATTCTCAGCAACAAAACAGAGGATCAGAGTAAAACCCACCAAATATCAAACATAAAACAGAGTATCAGAGTAAAACCCACCTAATATCAAACACAAAACGGAGTATCAGAGTAAAACCCACCTAAATACTGTTCATGAGGAGTTGAAAATCAAACACAATAATCTTCTTAACACTGCAACTTGATCGGAGAAGTAACCCAAATAGATATTTGTACTGTGATAGCAGAGTCAAATAAACCTAAAAGGGATAAACATAAAGTTCAGAGGCGAAGAATGGGAAATCAATAAAGTTGAAGAGTTGTGTGATACATCAATATAATGGAATTCTCGGGTACAAAACGATTTCTGAGATGCCATCGTCGTCACGTTTGGTTGATCCACAGAGATATTTGTTGTATCCATAGTCATAGTCAGAGAGAGAGAGACAGAGATTACAACAGATAACAAATGTATCAAAGAAATAAATAGAGAGAGAGACAGAGATTACAACAGATATGAAAGAAATAAATAAAGAGAGAGACAGAGATTACAACAGATATGAAAGAAATAAATAAAGAGAGAGACAGAGATTACAACAGATAACAAATGTATCAAAGAAATAAATAAACTATTATGTAAAGGGATTTGGCCGTCATTCATCTTGTCTTGTTATATAGATTCTTAGGATAATTACAAATAGTTACATATTTTTAAGGTTTGTTAAAATAGAAAAATATATATTATATAAAAAAAATAAAATTTAATCATAGTAATAAAATAAATTCAAATTTTTTATTTTATCAATTTAAATTTAATTTTTTTTTGATTTATTTTCAATATAAATCATTTGACTATTATCGTTGAGTAAAATCGATAAAAAAAAATTATATTTTAACAATTAAACTCAGTATAAGTGTGTATAAAATGTGTACAATACTTTGTTAGTAAAATTTTTGTTAGGCTTAGATCAACAAAGCTTTAACACAAATTTTATCAAATAACATAATGATCAAGCAATCGTATTAAAATTCTATTCCTTGAAATGACTTATTTGGAGTCAAAATAATAACAATACAAACATAAAAATAGAAAAGAGAAAAAGAAAAAGAAAAAGATGAAGTTGAAGATGAAGATGAAGTAAAATGATTAAAAGAATGATATTTTTTGATAAATCCTCTTTCTAAGTACTTTATCCCATCTAATTTATATTTTTTTTAGTATTCTATTGAGAGTTTGTTTGGGATGTCTTAAATAAGTGCATTTTTTTTTTTGACTAAAAAGTTGAGAAAAAAATGTGGATGTTTTGGTTAACTTTTTATCTTTTTATGAAAAATTGTATACATAAAGTGTATATGGGAAGAAAGTTGAGTAGGTTGTATGACTGCCCTGCTGGGGGCAGTGGATCTTACGCAACAAATTATTGCCTCATTTGGGCAAAGTGTTTGAATAGTGATGGTTGGTCCGTGGGGGCCACCACGGGTCCTATTTTAATAATCTGAACCGTTCAACATGTAAAACTCGTCGAGTATTATATGCCTGTAAAAAATCACGTTGATCGGATATCGATAGCTATATGAGCAGATTAGTTTTTTTTCAACAGTTAACTATCACACCATTCGTTTTGTTTATACAAAATTGATTTGATCATATAGTTAACGATATCCGATCAACGTGATTTATTTTTAAACATATAGTACTCGACGAGTTCTACATATTGATCGGTTCGGATTATCAAAACGGAACCTTTAGTGGGCCCCCAAGGGCCCAACATTACCATCAAACTTTTTGGCTTTACATATGTAATTTTTTTTTTTGCCCAAAAAAATGCCTTCCTGCTGGGGCAGTACGGCTGACAGTGTAATTCAAATTTTTATATCAAAAAAATGTATAAAATATTTTTTAATATTTTTTATTTGTGAATAGTAATGACTTTTTTGCTTTTTGTATAACTTTTTGACTTTTTAAATTTTTTGGGACTTGCCAAACCTGGCCTAAGTCATGTTTAATGTAATATGACCAAATCATTATTTTTTGTATATGTTTCTATTTTAAAACTAAATACATAACAATAGTCTCTCATTTTATGGAAAAATTTTCTCCCTCATTCTAAAGAGAAAATATTACCCTTAATTTGTGGAAAAAAATCTCTCCATTATTCTAAGGAGAAAATATCTCACACATTCCATGGAGAAAATCTCAAATTATGAATTTTGAACTTTTTTATAATTTGAAAATTTTAAAAATAACCCAACAAAAAATCTGACTGAAAATCAAAATATAATGTGAATGGTCATAGTAAACAACAAGCATACAACTAACTTTTGAAAAAATAAAATGCATGCTAAAGTACAATGTGAATGTTAACAATAAACAACAAACATACAACTAACTTTAAAAAAAAAAAATTCATATCAAAATACAATGTGAATGTTCACAATTTATAATTAATATACAACGAGCCTAAAAAAATAATTCATACCAATGTAAACATTTACACTACAATGTGAAAACATAAAACAAACTGAAAAAAGTAAAAATCGACTATTTCAATTGTTCAATGATAACAAAAATGATTGTTTAACTAACAAGTATAGTAACAAAAACAACAAAAATATAATTAACTTTTAAAAGAACAAAACTTTTACTAAAATACAATGTGAATGTTTACAATTTATAATTAATATACAGTTTTTTTTTTATAAAAAAAAAATTATATCGATGTGAACATTCACCCTTCAACTTGAAAATATAAAATAAAATTGAAAAAAGTAAATCGACTACTTCGATTGTTCAATGGTAACAAAAATTATTGTTCAACCAACAAGCATAATAAAAAATATATATATATATATATAACTAACTTTTGAAAAAACTTCAAGGGAAAAGAAAATTAATACCAAAATACAATGTGAATGTTCACAATTTACAATTAACATACAACTAACCTTAGAAAAATTAAATCATACAAATATGAACATTCACAATACAACATGAAATAAAATTGAAAGAAAAAAAATATTTCAATTGTTTAATGGTAACAAAAAATGATTATTCAAACAACAAGTATAGTAACAAATAACCAATAGACTTTCAAACAATGTGAAATGTGAACATTCACACTAATTGATAAAAAAAAATAGAAACAATGGCAGCAATAAAATTAGAAATCTAAAAAAAAACTCAATCACTCTAAAAAAAAAAAAAAAAAAACACCCACATCCTCATATTTATTATCATCTTTATCATTATCATTATCATTAATAATCTGTGGGGACGCAAATTTTGAATGACGACATGTGGCTGAGGTGTCACCGAAGTGCCAACTGGAGTGCCATGTGTCCTGGTTATGACGCTGAGATGATCTCAGCTAGGCCGAAGTTGTCTGCGGAGAAACCGGAGTCCGGGATAAGCGGATAAGGGACAAGAGTCCTAGAATGGGAGAGGACTTTAGTTTGGATAAAGATAAGACTCTTAGAGAGTTTATCTCAATCCTACTGGGAGTCCAAGATTAGCAGTAATCCTAAGTCCATTGAAGTTATGCTTCTATTGGGATTAGGTAAGTGTTGGCTATAAAAGAGAGGCACCCTCATGGGTCTAAGGTATGCTTTTTATGTTTTGAATAGTGAGTTAAGCTCTTTTGCTATCTTTGAGAGATAACTGACTTGATCGTCGGAGTGCCCCCGGGTGGACGAACCACTGCCGAAATCTCTTCTTTTCTGTGACAGGTCGTTCGAGTAATCTATTTTGCTAGTGTTCTCTAGCTGAGTACTAGGTTGGCAATGTGGTCAGAAATTGACACACACATAATCTATGTAATTTTACCATTCTACCAATCAAAATCAAACCAAATCCACCTTTGAAGAATATGTTTGTAACAAAATTGACTGGACATAAATAGAGTTTCGACTTACAACAATGAAGAAACATAGAGTTTTGAACACAGAGCAACAATGGACGAACACAGAACTTCGATCAATGGAAGAACACAAAGGTTCACCGCAACAATAGATGAACATAATATTATTACACCATCATGTGTAAACTAGAATTTTTAAACCTTACCAAATAGAGAGTTTTGAAACCCTAGCACAATGAAATAATACCACAAATGTGAATGAAACTGATCAAAAAGAAAAATGTGAATAATGGTAACTACCAAAATACAGGTAACAACAAAAAGGAAATGTGTATATCTTTTTTCTATGTAATACATATCAACAATAGATATAAGGGTATAATAATCCAACAAATAATATAAATTAGTAAAAAATGATCTTATGGAATAAAAGTATAAATACATGGGATTAACTAGGGTAATTCTATTTTCACACACTAATTCTACTCAGTTCACATACTTAATGAAACTTTTCATTAATACAATTTTGTCCTAGACTAAAAATACCATAATACCCTCATCTTCTTCTACTCAAATCCTATTTCTAAAATACCATAAAATTAGGCTCTGTATGGTATAGTTTTAGAATATATTTTCAAAAATAAATAAAAAAGTTTCCTATTTCAATATGGTTTCATCTTTTTATGGGCAAAAAAATTTAAAAAAATAAAAATAAAAATTGATATTTATTTTTGTCAAATTAATTTATATTTTTCTCATAAAAATTTAAAAAATTGAAACCAAACATAGCCTTAGGGTTTTAAAATTGAAAATGATGGTAATATTAGAATATAAAGACGTGCACTGAGAATTTATATTTTTATAATGTGTGTATTGAGAAAATATTCATTAAATGTGTATACTGAGAATAATTAGTGTGTGAAAATAGAATTATCCGATTAACTAGGTTATAATTTTTCTTGGTGGACTTATTGGGTTGAAACACCTCTAAATGAGATTTATAAATAAAAAAATCCCAGAAAGAAGAATTATTAAAATTAGGGGGACTTACCAGGCGGTCCCATGGAAATAGGTTAATACCAGTCAAGTCCTGTCCTATTTCCATTTCCAATTTTACCCCTCCATATCACAACACACGTGAAGCAAAGAAGCCATCCCGAGCTCTCTTCTGCGCGCGTGACACACACATGCCTTTTCAAGGGTTCTGTTACAGACGAACCTGTGAAGATTTGGAAACCATTTTGAGACGATTTTCGATTTGGAAATCAAAACAAATGAAGAGATTTTCGATGAATCTCCCATCGTTTCCAAAGAAATTGGAAATTGTTTTCATACCGGTTCTGAACAGATCCCCAACAAATCTTCCACCGTTTCGATCTATATTTCGATTCGGACATTGTCACGACCCAAACCCGCCCCTATGAGTTTAGCATCGTAATCGGCCAGTAATCCGTGATTACCAAAGGCTTGCTTAACAGTAGAGACAGTAATACAGAGTAAGGGGCTGGTGGAAGCCAAAATAGTAAATAAAAGGTGTCCAATGAGCTGTGACATTCTGAATGCAAAAAGACTTTCCTAAACATATTCACATTCATAAGCAAAACATATATACACCATAT